ATAAGACGATTTTATTTAACCGTAAATGGCCCAAGCAGATCTACATTCACATGTGAAATGCTACAAAAAAGATCTATGTTTTTTTTTTACATATTTTCAAATAAAACAAAAAAAAAAATAGGAGATCCAAGTTTTTTACACATTTTCAATGTAAAAAACAAAAAAGATCTACTTTTTTTACATTACAGTGGTCCCTCATTTTTCGTAATTAATCCGTTCCTGGAGCCATTATATAAACGAAATTTACGATTTACGAATCAATTTTCCCCATAAGAAATAATGTAAATACAATTAATCCATTCCTGAAAACCCAGAAGTTTTTAAAACAAAAAAATTTTAACATGAAATATACATGTAGTACATAAACAATTTACAATGGGAAATGATGAATGAAACATTAACAGCATAACACTTATCTTTATTGGAGATTTTCTTAGTGTATGGGAGACTGGAGGAGGAGAGAGAGTGGATTTTTTTATAGTTTGGAAGGGGAATCCCTTCCATCAACACTTCAGGTACCCTTTGCTTTTCTGGGTTGCTTTTCTTCTCTGTTTCTTAATGCCACTAGGACCACCTTGAGTGCCACTGGAGTCCGTCTCCCCAAAATAACTGTGGAGACAGCTTTGTTTCTGGTGTCTCTTTAACACTTCCTAAAATGGCCCAAGAACTTTGTCACTGTACATGTTGCCAACCTGGCTTGCAACAACCTTGTTAGGGGTGATGTTTTTTCCATAAAGCTTTTCATCTTACCCCACATAGTAAAAATCTCCTTAATTTCTGAAGAAGGCACCTTCTTCCATCTCTCTTCTCCTCCTCTCCCAGCAAGATTCTGAGCTGCAATGTGTTGCTCTTCCTGCTGAAGCTGTTGCAGCTCCTCAGTGGTGAGCTCTTCATTGTGGTCTTCCACCAATTCTTCCACATCTCCAAACTCACATCCAACCCCATGGAACTCCCAGTGCCACAATTGATTTTACAACGACATAGGCTCTTTTAGAGTCAGTCCCAAATCCTTCAAAATCCCTCTTGTCGACACAATCTGGCCACAATTTTCTCCAGGCAGAGTTCAAAGTCCTGGTAGTCACTCCCTCCCAAGCCATCCCTATAAGGGCATGCAGTGGAGGATGCTGAAGTGTCTCTCCAAAATTCCCTTGGGGTCAGTGAGTGTCTGTGGTCACAGTCAAGCAACTGTGAAACATTGCTTTTGTGTGAGTTTTTTTAAAGTTTGCAATAACCTGCTGGTCCATGGGTTGGAGGAGAGGAGTTGTATTTGGGGGCAAGGAACTTTACTGTGATGAACCCAAACTCCTCGAAAATTAGGTCATCCCAAGTTTGGAGGATGAGCAGGTGCATTGTCCATTACTAGCAGGCACTTGAGATCCAATTTCTTTTTCCAGGAGATACTCCTTCACATAGGGCCAAACACTTCATTGAACCACTCTACAAAAATTTCCTCGTGACCCCGCCTTACTATTAGATTTCTAAAACACACACAATTTTCTCTTCATAACATTGTTTTTCCTGAACACTCTGGGATTTTCAGAATGGTACCTAGTAATGGCTTCACTTTGAAATCCCACTAGCATTAGCAAAAGAACATTAGCATCAGCCTGTCTTTCATAGCTTGTGTCCTGGCATTGCCTTTTCCTCTTGTGTAATGAAGGTCCTCTTTGGCATTTTCTTCCAAAGAGGCCTTGTTTCGTCACAATTGAACACTTGTTCAGGTTTCAGTCCTTCCTGTTTATGTACTCCTGGAATTCATGCACATATTTTTTAGCCGCCTTTTGGTCCCCAACTGGCAGCCCCACCATGGCCCCTTACCACACTGTGTATGCCAGTACGGTTCTTGAATCTCTCAAACCAGCCTTTGCTCACCTTAAATTCACTCACTTCACACTATTTGCAGGCAATTTCTTTATCAAATCTTCATGCAACTGCCTAGCCTTTTCACAAATAAACGAAGTCATAAGAGTAATCTCCTGCTAATTGTTTCTCATTTATCTACACCAATAATAACTTCTCAATCTCTTCCTTACTGGTGATCTCATTTTTGTCAGCATAGTTACTCCCTTTGCAACACAGTCACTTTATTTCATTTTTCTTGGCCACTATGGAACGTAAGGTTGTGTAGGGTTTCTTATACATCCTGGACAGTTCGGCCACACTTGTGCCACTTTCATATTGTTCAATGATGGTTTTCTTAAATTCAACTGTATTTCTCACCTTCTTTACCACAGGCTTGGCACTAGGAGCTTTCTTTGGAGCCATGGTAGCTTATTTAGTACTTGCAAGCACTAAAATAAATGGAATATTATGAAATATTTCGCTGGAGCAGGTGAGGGGACCTTCGCTCACTGGTAAACAATGCCAGACTGGCTGCCGCCCTGGCTCACGCCATGGGTACGCGTCCGGATGAACTACGACTCGCGAGTCAACCTATGAAAAGCGAGTCCATGTTTATACGAAAATACCCCTATGATTGGCGAATTTTATGATTGCCGGGAACTACGAAAAGCGGGGGACCACTGTAATCTGAATTCGATATTCAACGGCAATTTATAAACCCCATAGTTTCCTGTTCTCCTGCATTAGAAAGAACCAGTTTCAAATTATAAAACATTTCACAGGTACTGTACCAGCTGACCTCCCACATAAACATTAATCTTAACTTATTATCCATTTAACTTTCAGGTTCAACACTTAATTTTTAGCTTCCTTCTCTATTATGGTAATTGCTTTCCCTTTACACTCCATGAACATTTTGTTTTTGAACACGTGGCCGTCTCCCACCGAGGTAGGGTGACCCCAAAAATAGAAACACTTTCACCCATCATTCACTCTATTATTGTCTTGCCAGAGGCATATAGATACTTCATTTCAGATGCCCTTCCAAAAAGTGCAAATACCCCCCACCCCCCTTTAGGGTCCAGATACTGTATTTCCCGCCTACACTATGGTCTGGCTAACCGGTTTTCCAAGATCCATTATTACATTTATACTGTCATGATCATTTCCTTAATTATGAAAGTGAAAACAGCTGATGGCAGCATCATAGTCAAGTGCATCTGCTGGCAAATAAATACATGGGGAATCTAAGGCTTGTATTTTAGGCAGTAGCAGTTATACCTGCTATAACCTTAATGGTTCCAGGACTCTCCACCCGTTGCTGGTCTAAGACAGGCCTACTAAACTGGAAAGGAAATATAACAGGAATAGGAACTAACGAAAGACCCAGGAGAGGGAAGCCAAATGTACAGCATACTGAATTAACCCTTTTAGGGTTTCAGCCGTACTAGTATGGTTACGCGCAGGGGTTTTTGACATACTAGTACGCATAAATTCTAGCGCCATCAAATCTAGTGGGAGAAAGCTGGTAGGCCTTACATATGAAAGAATGGGTCTATGTGGTCAGTGTGCACAGTATAAAAAAATCCTGCAGCACACAGTGCGTAATGAGAAAAAAAACTTTGACCGTGTTTTTGGATTTAAAACAGAGACTTTGCATTGTATTTTTGTATGGTATTTATTGTTGTATTCTAGTTTTCTAGTTTGACTGGTTTTACAATGAAAAGTACCTTGAAACTGAGCTCAAAGTAGCAGAAATGTTCGATTTTTACCAAAGATCAAAAGTAAAACAAATCGTGCCAAGCGTCCAATACACGTCAACTGGTGAGTCTATATTCTCTCACAAGTGCGCTGATATTATTTATACCATTTCTACACTAATGCAGTTGCCTGCATAACAGTAAATCTTCTATTTTTTTGTGAGAATAAAAATTTGAAGTAGAAAGCAAAAGAATGTAAGAGGGGCGTGGGAACGTGACTAATGAACAGAGGAAATGTTATTTTAGTGCCAGGAATGTCCTCCTTGTTTATTCTGGACTCTATTCGGAAATTGGCATCTTTTGAAATTTGTGTGAAATTGCAAAATTGCTAAATTCTGACCACTCTATTGGATAGTTGACACCGGTAAATGGGTGATTTCTTGTACTCATTCGATAGAAAAAATGGAGTTCTAGCAAAATAGTTATGATTTTTGTCGACTAGTACATTGGAATTGGCCAAAAATAGGGCTCAAAGTGGGCAAAATCGCCGATGCGTAAACATCATCGAGACCGCTAACTTTGCGAGAGCATATTTCCATAAGTTTTCCATCAAATTTCATACTTTTGGTGTCATTATGATCGGGACAAGATTCTCTATCTTTTCAAAGGTAAAAAAAAAATAAAAATTTTTTTGTGTGAAATTTGGCCGACCCTGAGAACAAGTCTCTGCCGCCCCCCCAAAGGGTTAAGAAAGGACCAGTAATCCTTGCAGATGGCAAAACATTTAACAAGTTTAGCTTCACATATACAAGATATTCTTCACATTTTATTTAACATACTGTCACCTCTTCACAAGAATTGCATTATAATACCAACTCCTCTAACTTTTCACATTAAAAAATTACGTATAGTAATAATAAAACACCAGTTTTATCTGGTGCCAATAAAATATAATTAAGTTTTGAAATATAAGTACAGTGGACCCCGCCTTACGATATTAATCTGTTCCTGAGAGCTCATCGTAAGCCGAAATTATCGTTAGCCGAATTAATTTTCCCTATAAGAAATACATGTAATGGAAATCAAATTAATCCGTTCCTGACACCCCAAAGTATGAAAAAAAAAATTTTTTTACCACGTGAAATATTAATTTTAATACACACAAACTGAAGAAGACATGCACAATTACTACTCTGCTAAGAATAGAATACATGACACTTACCTTTATTGAAGATCAGGTGATGACTGATGGGATGGGAGGAGGGGAGTGTGTGGAAGTTATTGTTTAGAAGGGTAATCACCTTCCATTAGGACTTGAGGTAGCAAGTCCTTTTCCGGGGTTACTTCCCTTCTTCTTTCAATGCCACTAGGACCAGCTTGAGAGTCACTGGACCTCTGTTGCACAACAAATCTGTCCATAGAGCTCTGTACCTCCATTCCTTTAAGACTTTCCTAAAATGGGCCATAACATTGTCATTGTACAGGTTGCCAACACGGCTTGCAGTAGCTGTGTCAGGGTGATTTTCATCCGTAAAGTTTTGCAGTTCAACCCACTTTGCACACATTTCCTTAATCTCTTTTTTTCAATTCCATACTAATTCTCGCCCTTTTTACCACAGGGATGGCACTAGAAGCTTTCTTGGGGTCCATGGTGACTTATTTTGCAGTTACAAGCACTAAAAACACTGGGATAATGTGAAATGTACCAAATGTATGCGTAGATGCGACCGCACTGGCTGGCTTGTAAACACTGGCGCTGAGGCCACACGTGGGATGCGTCCCGGACGAATCACGTAAGGCGAGTTTTTTATCACGAGGCAAGGCAAAATTTTTGCGTTCAAATGCTTCGTATGGCGGATTTAACGTAACGCGATGCGTTCATAAGGGGTCCACTGAAATTTGTTATAGATTACTCTTCTAGAATTCCATATATAGATCATGTGAAGATACTGGTATAGTTACTGATATGCAAATTCTTAAGACAGGTTAGGTAAATTAAACTATTTTATACTATATTCCCACATATGTAAATTTTAGCAAGGATAGGTTAATTATGAGGCAAGTTTCAGCTAAAACAATTGCATAACTGTTTCACAGCTCTCTCTGGGAGGACAAATCTTCAGGAGATTCAAATAAGAATTGTTTAAGAATGCAGACACCAAGTGATGTCTACATACAAGGACTCAAATACTTACACAACAACTGGGGACACTTGTCGGTAGGCATAGGCACCAACAGCTCCGCTGTACTGATACCCCGCATGTCTGAAATACACCAAAAATTAGTACAAGCTGAAGATTTTTTTTTAATTATTTCACATGAGGGTTAACAATCCAAGATATACCAAAAACTCAAGCAGTGAGGCTTATTTCCAATGGGGGTCCTAGGCTCTCTTTTCTAGGATGCGGCACAAAACAGTTGACTAACTCTTAGGTATCTATTTACTGCTAGGTGATCTGGGACAGCAAGTGCAAGGAGACTTGCCCTGGCAAATAAACACAGGTTCTTCCAAATGCAAGTTTGAGGTAATCCTCAAACTCTTCATCTTCCACTATTCATCGCTGTACCAGATTAAGGAACTCACTTGATGACAAAACATTTCTACAATCAAGATTCCTAAATGTTGCAAAAAGTGTCCATACACAAAAATAACTTGCATGTAAGAGAGAGGAGCTTACAATGATGTTTCAGTCTGATTTGGACCAAGACGGACTGAAACGCCAGGCCTGTGGCCTGGTGGCAGAAGCTCTCACTTCACACAGTGAGGGTCCGAGTTTGATTCCCGGCGAGGGTTGAAACATTGTGCATATTTCCTTACAGTACCTGGGTGTTAGTCAACTGGTGTGGGTTGCATCCCAGGATAAAATTGACCTAATTTGCCCGAAATGCTCTGCATAACAAGCGGCTTTCTATATACAGTAGCAGTATGTCACTGATGTCAGCTATGGTCTGTGTACCTTGTACATGTAGAAATAGATATTTTTATTATTATATTGTTTTAAGCTTCTCTCTCCTATGTGCAGGTTATTATTGTGTATTGTTCCAGTCACAGTAATGAGCCTTCTCTTCTCAGGCTCGGTGGCCTGGTGGCTAAAGCTCCCGCTTCACACACGGAGGGCCCGGGTTCGATTCCCGGCGGGTGGAAACATTCGACACGTTTCCTTACACCTGTTGTCCTGTTCACCTAGCAGCAAATAGGTACCTGGGTGTTAGTCGACTGGTGTGGGTCGCATCCTGGGGGACAAGATTAAGGACCCCAATGGAAATAAGTTAGACAGTCCTCGATGACGCACTGACTTTCTTGGGTTATCCTGGGTGGCTAACCCTCCGGGGTTAAAAATCCGAACGAAATCTTATCTTATCTTATCTTAAGTGTCTAATTCTTCAGCCTATTAGTTTTCTAAAAGACTTGCAACACTACCACAGAGCTGCAAGTCATCACATCTGTAAGGTAATGCTAAAAAACAATCAAGATGAGGAAAATGGAAAATAATTTATTAAGGACAAAGTCAAGATGAAAGATAAAAATGGATTATGTTGGAAAGGAATGTAAAAACAGGGTGTTTGTATTATATTTTTTATATTATATTCATTTTTTATTTATTTTCATAAAGCTGAATGTAATATGCAGTTTGTTAAAATATTATTAGTAGTACCATATAGGTATACCACCCCTATGACTGAAATATTTGTTTCATATGGTTTAGATTTTCCTTTAAGGTATCTAAGGTGGCCCTTTTTTTCACTCATTATTTTCTTCTTAGTTCCTCATTTTCTTTGACTAAACATGCATAGTTCTACTCTGTCCAGATTTTGACCAATGCCAGAAAATCTGACTAGAAAGATTCAGTACAATTTCAAATGTACAGTACAAAAATATATAGAACAGCATGGTAAATGTTCCTGAGTAGAGGTGAGGATCTAATATTTACAGTCTGCCCACTTATGAACTGGTTCAGCTCTGATCAGTCACTCATAAGGCCATTTGTTCATAAGTCCAACACATGTATGTATACAGTATATGTGAACACAGGAAAAATACATAATGTACTCTAGTAAACAAAACGTGTTATAAATTAAATAAAGTTTATAATATTTATAATAAAGTTTGTAAATAATATAAATTTAATAAAACAAACAGCAAGATAATATAAATTTAATAAAACAATTTAATAAACCATACTATCGAAACTTAGTTACACGATGTTCATATGTAGGGGTCTCTGTAATTTGCAAAATTAAAAGAGCAGTGGCCCTTAGTGTTGTGTGTTCTGTTGCCTGATGTTTTATGAGCTTATATTAATATACAGTGGAACCCCGAGTTTTGTACAGCTCCCAACTCGAACAATTATGTATGTGTATTATTGTAAGTGTTTTTTCTGAGTGTATTTTTGGGGGTCTGAAATGAACTAATCTAATTTACATTATTCCTTATGGAAGAAATTCGTTCGGTAACAGCACTCGAGCAGACTTCTGGAATGAATTATGGCCAAAACTCAGAGTATTACTGTATGTATAACTGTAATTGATGTGGTTAATAATATACAGTACTTTATTTAACCTGACAACACTATAATACTTATTAGCCACTGTAGATACTGTATACATATTTTCAAAGCTGCAAAGTGAAGCTCATACACAGTACGTGTATTTGAAGAGATTTGCATTTTAGCTTTCAATGGCATCTTTTCTTTATCTTCAGCAAAAAACCATTTCACTACACTCTACCCCAAAAGTACACTATGTACAATGACATTTTTATTATAAAAATTTTAAGAGGAAAAAACCTAACTCCTACTCTAACTACATATCCATAAATTCTAAATTCCAGTGGGGCAAGCACAAGAACCAGCAACAAGAAAACCAGTCACCTGGTTTTCAGTCAAAAATCTACAGTAAGACAATAAATTTGGTTTTCAATCATAAATCTACAGTAAGATAATAAAAGTCACAGGATGGACTGCAGCACGGACATTACCCTTTTGTGGGTTGGTAGCGAATAACATTTACAGTGATAACTTACGGAGCAATTATAGCACGAGCAGGTCCATGTGAGAGGTCTGCTTGTCCTAACCATCCTTCTAGCTGACGTGCCAGATCTGTAGCTGTAGACAAAATATTATAGCACTGAATCAAATCAACATGTCAACCAAACCGTCAGTATTCAGAACATGAAAATGATCTTAAAGTACTAGTTTTTTACAACTACCATATACAGTACCTACTTTTTCTTATTACACTATTATTATTATTAGTATTAGTATATTAATGATAATTATGGTATTCATTATTATTACGAGCATTCAGTACATAGGGTCATACTGCACTTGCAGAGTTTTGAAGCTCTCATTCTTTGGATCAAGAGCCATTCACCATCACCAAGGGTTTGCCCCTTGCCACTTTATATAACTTAGAATTAGAGCACACCATATTTTAAAATAATTTCAATCATAACAATACTTAACTGATCGAAAATTTTTGAGTGATGTGCACAAGAGGTCAATAACCTGACTTGTAATGATATTCATATGCCAGCTATTATTCTTGTGTATTTGACTGTATGAAATGAAAAATTAATTTTTGTATACATCTGTTCTCTTACATACTTAAACCATACATGCAACCTAATACGTGGAACCTTGGTACTCGAAAAGCTCCATACTCGAAAATTCAGTATTCGAACACTTTGTTCGGTAAACAAACACGACCTGCCAGAACTTTGCTGTAAACTACAGTGGACCCCGGTTCACGATATTAATCCGTTCCTGAGAGCTCATCGTAAACCCAAAATTATCGGAAAGCGAATCAATTTTCCCCATAAGAAATAATGGAAATCAAATTAATCCGTGCAAGACACCCAAAAGTATGAAAAAAAAAAAAAAAATTTACCACAAGAAATATTAATTTTAATACACACAAACTGAAGAAGACATGCACAGTTACATGACACTTACCTTTATTGAAGATCTGGTGATGATTGATGGGAGGGGAGGAGGGAAGAGTGTGGATGGTCTTAGTGTTTAGAAGGGGAATCCCCTTCCATTAGGACTTGAGGTAGCAAGTCCTTTTCTGGGGTTACTTCCCTCTTCTTTTAATACCACTAGGACCAGCTTGAGAGTCACTGGACTTCTGTCGCACAACATATCTGTCCATAGAGGCCTGTACCCCTCGTTCCTTCATGACTTTCCTAAAGTGTTTCACAACATTGTCAGTGTAATAGTCACCAGCATGGCTTGCAATAGCTGTGTGAGGGTGATTTTCATCACCCTTTTCACAAATGATCGCTTGAGAGATGTTATCTCCTGCTATCTGTTTTTCATTTATCCACACCAATAACAGTCTCTCAACATTTTCTAACACTTGCGGTCGCTGTTTCGTAATCACAGTTGCACCTTTTGCAAGAACAGCTTCCTTGATTGCCGTTTTCCTGCTCACTATTGTTTGAGATGGTTGATTGGGGTTTACTATACAACCTGACCCGTTCGACACACACACTCCACTTTCCTACTTTGCAATTATCTCTTTCTTCATTTCAACAGTCATTAGCACCCTTGGTCTCGAAGGGTTGACACTAGGAGCTTTCTTGGGGCCCATGGTGACTTATTTTGCAGAAACAAGCACCAAAAACAGTGATAATATGGATAATATGGAATGTACCGAATGTATCCTTAGATGCGCGCACACTGGCTGGCTTGTAAACACTGGTACACACGGGGGAGTTCAGGCCACAAGTGGACACATCTCGTACGAATCGTATCGCATACCGGGTTTTGTATCGGGAAGCGAGGCAAAATTTTTTCGATCAAATGCATCAGCAACCGAATTTATCGGATACCGGTAACATTGGGAACCGGGGGTCCACTGTATATCATGTTTCTTCGCATTTTTTGTTGTTTTATATTATCTGTATAAATATGTTACCATGGGGCCTAAGAGGGTTTGTGATAACAGCCAACCAAAATCAAAACTGGTTGAGAAAAACTCGTTCAGTACTCAAACAGATCAGCATTCGAATAGCCTTCTGGAACCAATTAAGTTCGAGTACCAAGGTTTCACTGTATTCACACACTGATTTTTAACAAAGACTTGCCTTTATCACACAACAGACAAAACACTTTTACTCATTCAATCATCGTCTTGACAAAAGGCCTCCGACTGATGCGTCTAACCTAAGGGAAATTGCATTAAAAATCCAGGCTATAGATTGCAGAAGTCGACAATTTTCTAACTGTTAAGAATATTTGTAATACTGGCTTCTGTGCATCTTCTGATCAGCTTCAAACTTTCAGGGATGGGGGTTTTGCTCCAAGGAAGGTCTGCACTGATTTTGAGCTGTGTATGCTTTAACATGCCATGTATAATGAACAAACTTAGTTGTACAAAATAGTGCAAGTGAAGGAAGTTTATAATTAGGCCACAAACAACTTTAAAAATTTACAATGGTTTTGGATAATAAATTATGTAGAATTTAACCTAGGATAATCCAATAAAATTCAAGTAGCATTAAATTCATTGGGGTCCTTAATGATGACAAATGAAGATAATTTAGACAAGCAGGAATATTTTTTTACCCCCCCCTAAAAAAAAAGAAAAAACTAAAGTATACATAAGTCATTTAATAATAAAATCACGATACACAAATAACCCGCACATAGAAGAAAGAAGCGTATGTCGACGGTTCGGTCCGACTGACTCCACCACTACTATTACTACCTCCACCACTACTACCTACTTCCTCCACTAATACTACTACTACTACCACCTCCACTACTACCTCTCTTGTCCTGTCCCTGTCTGCTGGCCTATATTTACTCCCTCCTTCTCTCCTTTTCACTAGCGTGACTTTGTAAATGGTTCAACTCAGACCGAAACATTGGTGTATTGTTCTAGTCACGGTATTGTGCCTTTTTTTATTTAAAATTACGATAATAATTTAGAAAGTTCTGCAAGACAATGGAAAAACAGTTTTGACAGTGGTCAAAAATGGTAGTGGACTGTAGCACCAGATGTTACCCATTAATAGTCCTGTGGAGAGTTTAAGGTTATTTATGCACAGGTTTAAATTAAATAATGCTGCACAAATTATCCATTACATACCGTAACAGTTGTAAATACCTAGGATAACCCCAAATAAAAGTTTTTCCTACAGCTTGGTCCCAGACCAAAGCCTTCCAGGTAGGAATGGAAATCCAGTGGAACTACAGTACTCGAACAGCTTCGTACTCGGAGCTAATTCGGTTTCGATGCTTTGTTCGGTAAAAAAAATCGCTCAGAAGTCATTCCATTTCTCAGCATCGACAAGCAAAACAACCTGCCAGAACTTCGCTGAAAACCATTTCGTCGTTTCTTCGCATTTTTTGGTGCTTTTTTTATATTTATTTGTTACGAATAAGTCTTCATAGAGCCTAAGAGGGTTGTGATTAACAGCCAACAAAATCGATGTTGGGAAATAATTTGTTCGGGTACTGGACTCAGCCCTTCTGAAATAAATAAAGTTTGTTGAGTCCGAGTCTCCACTGAATTACAGGCAATAGAAACTACCAATGACCTGTACTTAACCAGTGGTGACCTGTACTTAACTCAGTGGTGACCTGTACCCCCCCCTCTACTTAACTCTGTCAAGAAGTGCGTCTTGTTGCCACCCGTGTGGACTGAACAGATGCCCTCCATGAGCCAACTTTATCAGCAACTTAGGAAGAATTGAGGGCAACGAAGATGGCAGGATACGGCGATTGGCACCGAGGAAAACAAGAGGATTCGTAGTAGTCCTCCTGTTTCGAGTCCTCTGGTCTAGAATGGCATCGTGGTCAAGTGGCTGGTCGCAGGGGACGACCGAATTTGACGATCAAGAAGACGGAACTGGAAAGCCAGAAACGATGAGAAAAAGAAAAGAGGACTGCTGTGGAAACTCCTGTGGAAACCTCCAACGCATTTTCGGTGTCACCTCGTCGGAATGTGAGTCGACTAACTTCGGATCGTCATCGACGAACGACAACAAGGAACGGTAAGAATATTGTTGGGTTGTTGGGGATAGCCAGGTTAGATACTTGGGATAGGGCATTCTGACTTGAATGGTCAGGAGTAGGAGACTAAAAGGGTTATGCTTTCCTGGTTCAGGTGCTGGGAATGGAGGACATTGTTAGCCGGGCCTTCTTGACAACATCATGAACGGTTAATGGGGATCAATCATTTTATTTTGCCTCAGTGCTGGAAGGCAATGATGTAGGCATGCATTAGATGGAGGATTTTAGTTAGAAAGTTCAGGACAGCTTATAGACATTTAATTTTAGGGGGGGGGGGAAGAAGGGGCGGGCGCCCTGTTATTGTGGCATTTTGCAAGAAGAGGTGTTGGTAATGAATGGTTGTCCAGAGCAATTGGTTTTAATTGTTGGATGGATAAACACTGTAAGGATAATGCAGTACCTTTCATTGACACTGGGCATTCTTCTAGGCGAAGATGACATGTATGCCAGGGATGGGGTTAACTTATCCAGGGTGAGGGTCGTTGTTTTCTTGACAACTCAGTTGAGGGGGTTGTTAGGACTTTAAATAGGATTAGTTAGAGGTTATGGGTTTTGAATTGTTTTAAATAATGAGTTTGGATATATTGACTTATGCTTCATGAGTATTTTGAATCTTAATAGTAACTGTCATGGTGTAATAACTCTGGGTATGTTAATTTCAGAAATTGTGTAAAAAACTAAGATGGAAATAGGAAAAGATGAGCAGAAGAAAAAAACTTTGGTGGTATTTTGATAGCTAACAGTCGAAGTGCAAGAAAATAATTCTTAATGAACTACGTTTTGGTTAGCCTGTGCTAGGGAAAACTTTGATTTCATTGCTTTAACCTGAAAACGTGGGCATGATTTTAAAGAGTCGGGATATGATGCCTTTGAGTGCATTATTCAGGGATTTAAGCTTGTTCATTGTGGATAGATGTAATGGGAAGGGGGGAGAGTGCATTGTTTGTTCGACGAAAATATTAATTGTAGCATAAAAACAGGTATAAAATTAGATGGAGCAGGTAACAAGAGTCTGTTTGGGTTAGAGTTCGTGGAGGGTCAAAGGAATAATAATTCTAGGTGTAATTTACCGATCCTCCAGG